CCTCTGCTTTTCACTACCTTCTTTAACCAGCTTAGGTTGTGTGCTTGCATAGAGATAGGTTGTCCTTGTTTTAGAGATGAAGAAGCTGAGACTCAGAAGCATGCGTGTCTCACTAAAATAATCATCCACAAACCGAATGAAGTTCTCTCATCAACTGGCCAGCAGTCTCTCATGTTACCTGCTTTCTAATACACACCAGACTCACAGAAACAAATCCTTTAATATACTCCCTGTGCCTTTGTCTCCCCCATTGCTCTCTCTAGTAGCCCCTAACCTTAATCAGACTCGAGTTGCCTTCTCTGGCTCTACATCCAGGTGCTGAGCATTGCTGGAGGCCACAGCCGGTCTGGCTGCCATCACACAGTCACGCTCACTGTCACCAGGTCCTCTGCTCCCCTCCTTCGGAAGCTCCTTTCTCAGTGTCCCAGACTTTCTGCTTCACACCTTCTTTCTCCTTATATCTCCACATACCATTCTTGCTCCCCGCTCATGGTTTTGGTTTACCCCTTATTGAAAAAATAGATCCATTAAACTAAAATTCCCTCACCTTCCCATCACAGAATTTAAAGTTCTTCCTGTTTCTCCAGTCCTGGTTATTCCTCTTTGCCTCCTGTTAGAGTAAGTGAAGTATCCCTCTTCCTGTCACAAGTCAGCCCTTGCGTTCTAGAATCTAAAACTTCCCTAATCAAGCGTCTTACCCCTTGGGTTCACCCTTCTCCAAATTATCTCTCTAATGAACCATCCTCACTAACATAGAAATGAACATATTAAAGGGGAAAAAAAAACTTCTCATCTTCTCCAGCCTCTGCCTCACTTTCTCTCTTACCTACACAGTACTTAAAACTATAAGTGCCCTCTCCAGTTCCTTCCTGATATAGCCAGTACACTCACGAGCTCCAGTTTGATGTATTGGACCTCAGTGTAGAGTTCTGTGTAAAAAGAAGTGAAACCTGGCCAATAGGTATAAATCAAGCATGTGATAAGTTTCACATTTAAAGGGGAAAAAAGAAGAAAAGGATGTAGTGAAGGCACTAAGGTAAAGGCAGAAGAGTAAATAAAAAGAAACGTGTGTGTATGTGTGTATGCACGTCAGTCATTAGGTGGGAAACACATAGTTATATATATGTACATATATCCAATTCTTTATTAAGACCATGAGTTTTAGTACAGTCTTTTGCACCACTGAGTGACATTTTAGTTGAGGGTAGACTATGTTTTCTTTGGTGGTGGCCCTAAAGGCTGCACCCCATAGCTGAGGTTTGTAGTGTGTAGTGCCATCTAGGTTTGTGTGATTAGTCTCTGTGACAGTCACACGTGATGAAATCACCCACCAAAGCTTTTCTCAGTATATACCCCCATCATTAAGCAAGTTAAGCCCGTGTTATACAGTTCCAGGTTCAAATCTCAGCCTTGCCCCTTATCAGTTATCTGATCTTGAAAATACTACCTAATCTCCTGGGATTAAAAATGAAAGTATTAATTGCTCATTGGACCTCTAAAGGTTAAATGAAATAATGTATATAAAGCACTTAGAGCATAGCACATAATAAATCCTCAAATCATGATTTTTATTAATGTTATTCTTGTTAAAATTGCTATTCCTACTATCATTTCCAGATGAACATAGCAAGAACCAATGATTGATTCTTTAGAAGTAGCAACTAGAGAATAGCATTTCAGAAAGCATTAGTGAAGCTTTCAATTCTGATCTAAGGCTGGAGCAAAGACCAGAAGTAGTCGACATGTAAAAGCCACCAGCAGACTCCCCGTGAAGCATCAGCATGGCAGATTGAGAAGAAACTTTCCAGGCGCTTAGGTACCACAGGAATCTGGGAGGAAAGACACAGTCCCCAGCACAGCCACACGCCCCTGGATTGTTACTGACGGAGCACTAGCTTTCACAGTCCACGCTTTCCACTCTGATTTTTGCAGTTACAAAGTGCTGGATGTCAGTATGAAGCAGTAATTTAATACTGAAGCTAGCTCAGTTCAACAATCATTTTACTTCTTTCTAAACCCAAAGCCCTGGACTAGATACTGTAGTGAACACATAGATTAGCAGAACAGGGCTTCTCTTAAGACATCTTCTATAATCAGACTATTTCCTTTTCTTATGTTTAGGTTCTGATCAGCATGCAACTGATGTCTGGTGACCCGTGTTTTAAAACGTAAGTTAATGCCCAGCTAATACATTATTTTTCTGAATGTATAAGAGTGATTCATTTGCTTAAATATGTACTGTTTTGTGGGGTTGGCAGGCTAAGGCCAGTGAAGGGATAGTTCTTTTTTTTTTTTTTTTCCAAAGCAGCTGGCCCCACCCAACCCCCCCCCATAGAAGTCACTATTACCTAGTGTCGTGTCCATGCTAAATTATTCCAGCTGTGGCTCTTTCGTCACCTTCAGGTTTAGGGGTCTATTACATGAACTTAAAGCTTTTATTTGACCTCTGTGGTGGGTTTTCATTTCTTCAAGAAATACCTGTGAAAGTCATACCAGGTACCAGGTTCCATTCTAGGCTCTAGAAAGACAACAGTGAAAAAAAAAAATCAACCAAATCCCTGTTATCTTTGAGCTTATAGTCTAAGAGAAAAACAGATAATAAACTAACAAGTGAATAGACAATATACAGATGATAAGTTCTGTGAGAAAAATAAAGCAGATCAAGAGTACCATGGTGGAGAGAAATGTTAGTGATTTATATAGTCAGGAAGTCTTCCCGGGTAAAAATGATATTTGAGCAGGACCTGAAGGCAGGAAGCAAGCCACACAGATATTTGGGGAAAGAGCCTTTTAGGTACAAGGAACCGGGACAAAGACCTTGAAAGAGGAGCATATTTGGCAGGTTCAAGTAACTGCCAGGCAGTCGGAGTCTGTAAAGCAGAGTGAATGAGGAGAGAGGTAGGAGATTAGATCAGTTAAGAGTCTTGTAAGCCCCATAATAGCTGAATGAGATAAAAAGCTACTAGAGGGTTTAGAGCATCAACTACCTGATGGCCAGGCAGAGAACAGACAATTTGTGGGAGCAGTTAAGGAGACGAGGGCAGAAAATAGATGAGTTGGGTGATTGTTTTTGGTAACTCAAGGTTTAGGGGTTGAGTAACTAGAATAATGGTGTTTCCATTTATTGAAATGATTAAACTATAAGGTGAACAAGCTAGCATGTTAAATTTGAGATCCTTATTTAAATATCCAAGCCCGGCACGGTAAGTTGGAAACTGGATACATCCAGTTGGAGTTAAGTTGGGTAGCCCAGGCTGTGGATATAAACTTGGAAATCATGTCATCAGTGGCACATAAATACTTGTTAAAGCCATGTGATTTGAGTAAATAACCTAGAGGGTTGAGTGTAAATAAAAGGATCACAAACTGAGGTGTGGGGCATGTCAGCATGTTAGAAGTTGGGGGGTAGGGAAGAACCAGCACTCACAATGGGTGAGAGAGGCGAAAGGAACACGGGAGGGCATGGCCCTAAGCCAAGTGAAGGGTGTGTTTCAGAAAAGGAGCGCAGAACTGACTGCCACACACGGAGGGACAAGCCACAGAAAAAAAGGACCGAGAACTGGCCTTTGGGATTTGCAGTACAGAGACCACTGATGATGTTGACAAGCCCCCTAATAAAATGGTCTCAGACTGACGCCTTACCTGGGTAGAGAGAGTTTTAAGGAAAAAAGAGACATGAATAAAAGCATTTGGGAGGAATGTTTTGAAAATATATAAGAGGGAAATAGGGACATAAAGAGAATAAGTGGTCAAGGCCATGCTCTTGTTGATTTTTTTTTTTTTTTAACAATGAAGACAGTTGCGTATATTTTTACACAATATGGGTGGTGAAATGGCTAGAGAAATGGGATACAGAAGAGAAGCTAGTACAGTGTGCTCGGATCGTCAAGAGAGAGGATGACAGCGAATGTGGCCACGGATGTGGGTATGAGGAGTGAAAGCATCCACGGGCTGTTTCTGGTGGCTCTGAGAGGGGGCTCGTGCCGGCATCAGTCAGTGCGCGGTGGCTGCTGGGAAGTTCTGTGAAGACACGTGCCTCAGCTGAGGACGTTAAAAGGCATGTTGGCAGTGGGTGCTGACGTGGCCTTTAGATTCAAATCCTGAGAGAACGGGAGGGAGAAAATTCAAACCAGTAGCTGAAGCTGATGAGATGTCTTCAGACAGGGGCTAGGGTGAGAAGAACATCTCTGACAAACACAGCAAAGCAGGAGTAAGTGATAGAGGTGGGCGTGGGAGCGTCACGTTCCGCAACCCATATGGTGTCTTGGAGGCGGGGGTGACGTGCAGAAGCAAGACTGGGAGACTCCTTTTTCTCTGCTCTCAGTGGGTTTCCAGCTTTTGGAGGAGGATTTTTTTTTCTTGCAATCCAGGGTCTGCTGTCTTCGGTACACGAGGTCACAGGGGCCTCACAGCATTCTCTTCCACATCACAGCTGGTAGTGGGATGGATATGCTCAAATCTCTGTCGGCTTCTGTTAAGACGGTTAATCATAGAAAAACCAAAACAAAGGAAATTGTCAAGAATAGTCAGAATAGAAGCCGAGGAAGGTGGCCAGCAAAGATCCTGAGCCCTGAGTGGTCAGGAGCAGCAGCTGCACTTGGAGGACAAGTAACCGAAGTCTGTGATACCCAGGCGTGGCAGGAGAGAGCCCCCAACTCCTTGTCACGGAGAGCCAGGGAAGTCTTCACCAAGGTCACTACACTGAGCTGGTTTCAAGGCTGACTAGAAAACTCCTAAGCAGAGGTGGGCAATGGCACTCCAGGAGGGAAAAACAGCCCATGTTCCCCTATGGCAAGGAGTATTTACAAAATACTAAGTAAGTGTTATCATTTTAGGAGGTCATTTTTCACCTATTTTTAAGCTTTGTTATGAAATTAATGTAAAAAATTTCAATCTCATTCCATCATTAAACAACTTCAGTAAGGGTTACAAAAATATCTTCAGCACAAAAGGGGTAATAGAATAAACAGCAGTATTTTTTTTTTAAGATTTATTTATTTGTGCATACAGAACTGGGGTACAAGCCAGAGAGGTACAGGGACAGTGAGAGGCTTCATCAAAGACAAGTCGGGAGCAGAACAGGCAGATCGAGGAAATACAAAGCTGAGGGGAGCAGCGGGCGGGTCAGGAGAGGTCTGCCGCGCCATATGGGTCACCTCCGGGGCGGGGGTCAAACTAGCACTGAAGCCACTGCTGCTGGCTTGCAGTGCTGCATCCTAACCCGCTGTGCCACCAGGGAGGGCCAGAAAAAAGCAGTCCATTTTATACATCCAGTGATATATACATCCAGTGATGCCACATAACTAGGTGAGACTGAGACAGAAAACTACCAAGGCCCAGCTAAAATCATGGATTGGAAATCTCCTTAATCTGAGTTCCCATAAGGGATGAATTTTCTCCATATGGCTCGTCTCCCAGTGTGAGAGCAGTTATTGCCCATAGCTGAGATTATCAAGGAGTGGGCGCCCTTCCAGAGGTACTGAGTGTTTTAAATCCTCAGATTTAAAACACACATATTTCAAAGTCTACAGCCCAGTAGCATAGAATAGAGGTAAGCCAAGAGGCTCTTGTAGTTATCTAGAAAAAGGTACAAAGGCCAAATTAAATTAGCAGAAATAGAAGAGAGTGATAGAGAAAACATTAAGGAAGAATCTGTGAGGTCTGGAGATGGGTCCGATGTAGACAGTGGAGCCAGAGGGAGACAAAGGCAACAGCTAAGATTCCAGTTTTGGTGACTTTGTGGCTTGAGCCGGCGTCCACAGTCAGACTCAGGGCCCACAAGATGCCAGATTTGGGGAGAGGTGGATTTGTCAAGGATAGATTATTTAATTTATTTACAGTACAAAATACTTGACACTGTCCAAATAGGATCACAATGGGATACAAGTTTAGAATTTAGAAGATCCTGGGGTAGAAATAGTCCTTAATTAAACAGGTTTAATGGCTTTTGAAATGTCTGTATCCCCATGTCCTGCATAGCCCAAAAGTCCCATGGAGCTAATAGAGTAGGACTCTAAGAATTGCGACATCTAGATCATCTTCAGGAAGATGGGGTTTTTTTTCTCTAGAATATCAACCTCAAAAGATTAGGGATTTTTTTAAATTCTCGTTAGAACTCACATTTGCCTCCCCTGCTTCAGAGTTTCCTTACGGCGCTAAAGCTTTGCATTAGCCAATAAAAATATTACACCTTCCCCCAGAGAATCCAGCCCCAAAAGCAAATCTAAACAACTGAGGCTTTTTATAGACTCTCCCCAGGTAGGTAAATGTGTATAGGGAAGGTAGAAAATAAAACCATGAGAACTGTTACGTTGGCGGAGACAACAAGAAAGTTTAGGCACCAAAACAGGAAGCACGAGGCATCCCGTGGTGTCTCCTGCCCCTCACAGACACCCCTGGCCTGGGCCGAGAGTTGAAGCACCCCTCCCCGCCCCCCCATCAAGCGCCGGGAGCACTTGGACAGATTGTCATTCCCATAGTGCCCCTTCTGCTGTCACAATTTCCCCCACGAATCTTATTCAAGTCTTTTTTTAATAATTTTTTACTGAGGTAACATTTCACTATAACACTATGTAAGTTTCACGTGTGCATCCTTATCAATCATGGACTTTATGAATCTTATAAAGCATACACAAACAATAGCAAATTCACCCCTCACACTACAGTTCTGTCCTTCCACATATAATTGTCCCCTCAAGCCTGTTTCACCTGTTCTTCCCCTTCCCGTCTGTCATCTATTAAATGGATCTTAACAGTCTAAAAAGCTGATTTTCATTTTATTTAGATTTTTCATTTGTTTGACCTCTATGTATACCGCATAGGATTCACATAAGTGAAGTCATACAGCGCTTGTGTCCAACGTACCTCACTGAGCGAACGGCCCCCCCCCAAGCCCATCCACATTGTTGCAGGTTGCATTCTCTTCATGACAAGTGTTTCACCTTGCTGAATCTTTTGGAATGCTTGCATATTGTTTGTTGATTTTTTATTATTTTCATCCTCAACGAGGTGACATACTAAGGTTCCTTACTAAGACTAGGGTCCAACTACACAACCAGTCTAACAACATTTCAGACTTTCAGATTCACAGTTCAAGCTCTGATGCTTAGATATGTTGATTTACAGACCTCCTTCTACATCAATGTCTATACCAATTGCTGGTGAGTCTGAATTTCTGGAAGAAGACAGAAAAGGTGGAGAGACTCTCAAAATCCATCTTGGAATAGCAGGTATGGATCTTGCTAGTTTTGTAGTTTGTGAAAAATAGTACTGCTTGAAGTCATAATACATTCCCACAGTTCTCCCAGATTTAAATACTCAATGCTTCTGTGGCTTGAAATGAGCCAGTAAATACCCAAAGATTCAATGACAGTCATTGAACTTGGTCATTGACCAAGTCTGGTCAGTCCAGAGCTTCACTTTGTCTGAGGGGTTAGCTCTACCCGATGACATGCAGCAGTGACACACACCGGCCACTGTCCTCTGCTCCCCAAAGACTTCTCTTTGGTCGCCTCTCTTCCATGGATCACTTTTCCTGCTGTCAGGGTATCTCCACCATTAGTGTACAACAGAATCACCTGGTGAGCTTGTTCAGTTGAGGATTGCTGGCACTGCAGGCTGCCTTTCACTTGAGTAGGGAGTAAACATTGCCTTGCTCAACTTCCCCGAGGCAACTCTGCTGCTGCTGGGCCTGAGCCACACCTTAGAACCACTCACTCCCCTTGGGTTTCTCTTCCCTTGGTTCTCTGCCGGTTCTCTGATATTTTCTCTTCCGGTTTCTTGGTTACACCTTCCTCTTAATATTTGAATTGGTTCCCTCTTTTCCCTCTCCCTAAACAATGTCACCTACGCTGTTGGACATAACTATTGCACAGATATAGGTGGGATCATGTGACTGTGAGCTAGATACTTCTGTTAAGGGGAAGGATGTCCTAAAAAACTCTGCAGAGTTCTGTGGACTCCACCCCTACTCTGGCTTTCTGGTCTCCACCCCCTACTCCAGTGATTGGAAACTATAACTCCCAGCAGTACCAGGGAGAGAACTGTGAGGATCCCAAAGGTGGAGCTTAGCAGGCATTCTGGGACTTTGGGGGGATAAATAGGGCACCATTTGCTACAGCACTATCTTTCACTCTGAAAAACAGCTCTGGGTGGGGTGTCACTCAGGGCTTGCAGTTAGTTACCAGAGCTCCAAGTCTCCCCGAGCTGGTAAGATATTCCAGTTACTTTGTATCCCTCTCTCTTAACCTGGATTGTTCCTTTTCCTCTCCCCTTTTTGTAAATAAACCCATAGCCCTTCTGTGTGTGTCTGCAATACAACTGAATTTTAAGCGCAGGTGAGGCCCCACAGACAGGCGGCCCAGTTCACACTGGAGTGCCCTGTAACGCTTTCAGTTAACAAGTTTGTGTTCTACGGACAGCAAGTACATATGGCCAAATGCTTTCTGGAAAGGTCCACTTCATGCTGCCTGTTGTGCTGAAGCTTACCTGTTTTTTCATTCTTTTCAGCTAAACTCAAAATTCTTCTTCCAGGCGGTCTTACTTGTCTTTGTGTCCCCCAGTGTGAAGCCAGGGACATGGTAGAAATCCAGCGATGGAGCATGTCTTGGGTGCCTCACCTCCCTCATCCCCCACCCAGGCCTCCCTAGTCGCCGTCCTGTATCTTCTCAGTTATCCTGGCACAGTTCAACTTATTAAAAGTGTTCTGTCATTGTGCCTATTATTAGACATCTCACTCTCAGCTTGAGCATTAGGAAACCTTTACTCCCACCCTCTGTTCAACCTGTTGCCAAAGTGATCTTCCCAAAACGTGACGTGTTCTTGTTGCGTGAAGCCGCTGAGTTACTCCCGTCATCAGACTCGTGAGAGGCCTTTCACCCACAGGCACCTGCGCCTCTCCTCTCCCTTCAGCCGCTACCTTGCGTGCCATCTTTGCCAAGCTATTTGTTTTTCTACGAACAGGAATGGTTTTTCTCATGCTTTCCCTGCCTCCTCTGGCTGAGGGATTCCTGTCCATTGTTGAAACCTGGCGTTAGCCTCCTCGGTGAGGTCCTTCCCTGCTAGCAGGTGGGGTTCGCCACGTATCTTAAACAGTATTGCACACCTGGCTTGGTAAGAGTTTAGTAATTTGAGTGAATAAATTTTGAAAACCAATAGATAGGTGGAAGAATTAAGGTCTGAGCCAACCGTAGGAGTAAAGGGTTATTCCTGTGTTGTTCTTGATGTGAGCCAACTCTGTGAGCCCAAGTTTTTCGTTAATCTTTGGACTTAGAACCACCGTGGTCTCTCTTCCCTCACAATCCTCTTCCCTTTGCAGAGCAGCAGGGGCATCTCCTGCCTACCTGTGACTGTACACGTTCCTCCTCTTTTTTTTTTTCTTTTTCTTTCTCCTTCTGGTAAATCTGTCCTTTTAAGATGTAAAGGGGGAAAAAAGGTAAATATAAAAAGCACATATCATCAATAAGGCATATAATAGACAGCACTGTGGCGCCCTTGAGGTCTGAGCAGTACCACCTGCCCAGAGTGCGCAGCCATTTCACTCCTGCAGCCACTTGCATGGAGTATTTTTGGTCCAGCTGCGCTCAGTATCATTTATAGAACTGCTGCTATAATTGCTGTATTACTCAATTGGTTTTCTTTTGCCTCTAGGTGAAAAAAGCCTAGTTTCCAAATATTTCACCCTAATGAAAATGGTCACAGTTCTGCATTCTTTGGAAGTCTCGTTCTAGAAATACATATGGGTGTAATCCGGAATATGCACGTTATCAGGGAACTGCTGGAAATGGCTTTGCCACTGCTGCTTCTGGGCTTTGCTTTGAAACTGAATACTATAATCAGTTTCTTGAGAACCTTTATTCTCAATGCTGTATTCCGTGCTGTGTTGATTTAAACTGCAAACATTTGCCCAAATTACAGCCTAGCACCAGCAACACCAGCATTAAACAACAAAACGCTTGTTAGTTTACTGTTGTGGTAGAATTTTGAGAACAAAATTTCTTCCAAAATCACATAAAAACATGGCAGTTTTGTTACAGTTTATAGGAATTTATACCTCTGGCGTATTTTTATTAGGGAAATAATGAACCTAAAAACTGAAATAATTTTTTTAATGTACTCAACTACTTTATTACATTTAAATTATAAGATCACTTCATCATCATCTAGTCACCTAGGATGTATTCTGAATCTTTTTTTTTTCTTAATGTAAAAACTGAAATAATTTTATTTAAGATAGAAAACTTAAATTTTATGAAAAATACCGTAATTTCTTCATTTGTATTTCTTGCATTCTAGTTGTTTACATTTTGCTGGATTAAAGGGATCTTTCTTTCTCCACATAGAATACAAAGTCGCCATTCACTGTCAGCATAATTAGTAACATCGTGTTATGACTTATTGCAGATCTTTCAGCAAAGAGTGCCTCTGTTCCAGATGAACTTGGTGCCTGTGGACATTCTAGAACACCAAGCTATGCAAGCCAGCAGTCAAAAGTGTCAGGTAGAGGTTAAAAATGAAGTTTGAATTCCTGAGACTTTTATTACCCCAATGGCCTTGAGACAGCTGTGGTCTGGGCCATGAGGGTTTGACTGCAGTGTGTCTGATAGGAGTGTGACAGCCAGAGTGATTTTCTTTGACAGGTTACAGCACGTGCCACTCTCGGTCATCCAGTTTCTCTGAGTTCTGCCACAGGAGAAATACTTCAGTGGGAAGTACATCAACAGGGGTGGAAAGTATACTAGAGCCATGTGATGAAACTGAGCAAAAAGTAGCTGAACCACATCTCGATACAGATGATAAAGAAGATACAGCTCTGGAAACACTCAGCCGGTATCTATGCATTTGTTCTCAGTTTTAACTGAAAAAAATAAAATAACTTTATTTTCATAATGCAATAAAACGGAGAAAATGTTTTTAATGCTTTTCAAGCTGTCCAGTGAAACAAGATTCTGTAGAATCTCAGCTCAAACGAGTTGATGACACAAGAGTGGATGCAGATGACATTGTGGAGAAAATATTACAAAGTCAAGACTTCAGCCTCGATTCCAGTGCAGAAGGTTTGTAGCTGGCCTTTCCTATGTGCAGTTACGTCATTAGGTTCATGTGACCCCGGTCAGCGGTCAGAGAGGCAGGACATCTTGATTCTGAGGGTTGCATGTCTGTAAGCTAAGTTTCATGGCCTTGAATTCTGAAGCTAACTTCACCGCTCATTTATTTCTAAGAATGGATACTAAATGTATCAAAGAATGAACTTTACCAGAGAACAGCTTTAAAGAAAGCTTTCATTGCATTTAACTATGCCTCAGTGTCCACCATGTTCTTAGGCCTGGGAGGGTTGCTGTATCTGCGTTCTCATAGCCAGACATAAGTGCTTCAAGTCACTACTGTAATTTGGGGGGTTGAGCAGTGACCTGGAAATGCTAGTAAATAACAGAATGCTTCATTCCCTACTTAGCATTTTCACTGAAGCTGAAAATTTACATGCCACCAATTTGAAAGGTGCAATTATTCATGCTGGTGTGACTAGAGAGCAGTTAACAATGGACTTGATTTTATGATGCCGCTGGTGGTAAAGGGAAATAATTAAACCTTTATTGTGAAAGTGTATAGGAAGAGCTATCTCTACCCAGTTTTAAGAAAAAGAGCTTTATGAAAGTCCGTGAGGAAAGCTGTGTCTGTTTTAAAACTTGTAGGTAGTTTTCTTAAAGTTTTTTTTTAAAGAAACAAATGTTAAATGTGAAATTTATTATAATTTGATCGTAATCTAACAATGTTGTGTATAACAAATATGTTAAACATGCATTGCAGAAGAAGGACTGAGATTATTTGTGGGTCCCGGCGGAAGTACAACCTTTGGCAGTCATCATCTTCCGAACAGGTGTGTAGTCCCAGCAGGCCCGTGCTAAAGTGAAGAACAGACTGAGTTTCTGATAGTAGCAGGTGAAGGCTGCCACCTTGGCATGAGACTGAGGCTAGAAAACATGAGGCCTTGAGAAGAGCGCCAGCTCTTAGGATAAACTCTTTGTTTTCCTTATTCTAAGTATGCTTGAAGTTGTATTTTGTAAGTTGATATGTTAAAATTTCCTTAGATGTGTTTATGCAATGTGTTAGATAGCAGTAGAGCACTGGGCAATCTGCAATATAAAAAGGACATTTAGAAAAGAATTCTTAGCCTGGTATTCTAGAAAGAGCACAGCAAAATTCATTTCACTTGTTGCTCTTGTGTGTTGTGAACAGTCGACCCAACTACTCAGCAACATGGGACGATAGGAACGTTTCTCGTCCTCTCCAGTTCCTCCACCTCATTACAGATCAGAAAACAAGACATCATTTTAGTAGTTATTTAAATTCAGAATGCAGAAAAGGCACTACCAGACTAAGCCATTCTGACTCCTGGCACTGCAGCAAATGATAGTGAGCAGATGCTCAAGGATGCAGCAGAAACTCTGATCACCCATCGCTTCCCCACAGCCTAGTCCCGCCCTGCTGTGCTCCCCGCATGCTCAGTGTTCCCCTGTAGTGTTTGTGGAGTTCCAGCGCAACCCCACAGTGAGTCAGAATTGCAGGGACATGGAGCCCGGTTGTTCTGAGACAGTTACACTGTTCATGGTGTTCAGAACCAGAAGAATTTTTAATTCATTTCTTCAGCCAGTGCCCATTTTTCTGGCTCATCTCCGGTGTGTCCAGGACATTGCAGGGCAGTTTGCTTCTGGCCTTACTGATCTCTGAAATGTCCGGTGATAGCTCCTGCAAAGAAGGACACGAGTACTTGTGATAACTTTAAGCAACAGTACACTTCCTCTATATAGTATCTCCCCTCCTGCTCACTCCAAAAAAGTCACAGAAAGGATAGAATGATCCTCATCCAAAAATAAATACAGTTGCCATCATTTTTGATACTGTCTATTTGTATAGACTTACAGAAAGCATTTACTATCCCCCCAAGCCAAAGAAATAGTAGAGGGAACTTGTGTGTCCATTCTTAACACCATAAGGCATCAATAATAATTAAAAACCTTCTGTTAGTAAGTCCATCACTTAAATATTTCTTAAGTACTTTATTTACAAAGTTTGTATATTGTAAGTCTTTCAGTAGTTACCATATTTCATTAGTAGAGGTCTGGTAGCGTAATCGGGCAAAGCTGCTATAAAAATGAGATCCAAAGGGCCCCCCGTTGCACAGCAGGTTAGGACGCAGCACTGCAAGCCAGCCTCAGCCACTTCAGTGTGAGTCCGAACCCCGGGCCCAGAGGTGACCCACATGGCACAGCAGACCTCCTGACCCACCCACTGCTCCCCTCAACAATGTACTTCCTCTATCTGCCTGTTCTGTTCCCCACTCTGTCTCCCATGAAGCCTCTCACCACCCCTGCACCTCTGGCCTGTACCCCAAGGCTGTATGCATAAATAAATCTTTAAAAAAAAAAAAAGACTCAACAATATAATGGTGAGGCTGAAAGGACAGTTTTACCCCCAGACAGTGATTCATTGATCCAGCCACTTCCATTTTGTCCTTCACCATCCTGCATAACTATGTTGTCAACGTTAGATTGTTGTATTCAAAGCAATCAATTTCCTGTTAAGGTAGCAGGGCAGGTGATAATATCTCCATGCACATTCTCTGGAGAGAAATGTAAACACGTGGACTCACCTATAAAGGATAGGATGTGGGATCTCTAGCCAGTCAGCCTGTGCCCACCTTATACTCTGAAAAAGGGAACAGTAGATTTGGGGGGGTCAACCAGCCATCTGCCAAATCAAACTAATGAAGAAAGAAGCCTCTTTAGAAGTACATTGATAATTTACAAGAATGGCCACATAAATGACACTTCAATATTGACTAAAAGAATTCTCACACTTTCTAGGAAGGTACATTAAGACACTGGGCCACTAATGTAACTAAAAACTATTAACTCTGAGCTGCCAGAATCAATATATGCTCTAGGATGTTTTTAGTGTTTATATATTAAAAAAAAAAAAATGTTTTCCTGGGTGTCTTCATAGAGTAAGAATAAGATTCCTAGTTAGGTGAGAATAAAAGTGAGAGGGTCGGGGGCTAAATTAATCCTGTGTATGAATTATAAACATTGACTCTTTTCAGTATTTTTTTTACTGTGACCTACAAACCTTTCAGAAATTAAATTAGTAGAAAATGCCTAATGTACTATCTCTCTGGGGGCAAAGTTAACTAGAACAACACGACAGCTCAAAATGTTGAATGTGTTTGTCCTGCTATTCCAGGGTGGGGCCTGGAGCTTATGAACAAGTCGTGATCAAACGCTAGACGTCCATCCGGTGAACCGAGGCTTCCCTGTGTGCTTCAGCTGTGGGCAGTTGAGCTATCAAGCCACCTTATTCAGGCACTTAGGAAGTTTGTTCATCTATGGAGAAAGGCAGAGCCAAGTCTTCTCTGCAGCCTACGACTGTCCTTTCCCACACACCTTGGCAGTCTCGAGGGGTGTGGCGTGTGTGCTCAGCCACACACAGCTCCCGGCTCACTGCACAATGGATGGAAAGCCTGTTTTCCTTCAGAACGCCCAGATGAGGAGAGCAGCGCTGTACATCTGGGTATAGTTTCAGTATTGAAATGTAAAACCTGTGGTAGACATGCTCTACACACTTGGGCTGCAGTTATTTCATGTTCAAGAGACAGTAAGTGAATATCATTAAAACCCTATAAAGCCTGTGAAGATAGTCATTACTTCTATTAAGAAAATCTTCCATATTATACTACCTGCAGTATTGTACTAAGTTTATTAACCTTTTGATGCAATAATTGATATAAGTGTGGTTGTTCATGCTTCGGAAAATGTTATACTACAATTTAAACGTGTTAAATGCTTGATAATTCCAAATATATCGTAAGTTGAATAAGTCCTAAATTGAATAGCAAGTATGTTTAAGTCTGAGCTTTGTGGATGGATATAATGTTGTTATTACGCGGTAGCATTGTTCCATGTGGTTAATACTAGGTGAACTGCAGCACTCCCACGGCACTATATAGGAGATGCAGCTAAGTTTACTATTCAGTACGTTAGGCTGCCATAAGGCACCTAACAAAAGAGCTGTTTAAACTGGATAATACCTACTGGTTTCAGGAGTCGATATTTAGAATCACAGGAGGAAAACTGATGTGACCAGAAACAAAGCAACCTTTCCTCTGTCCAAGACCAGACTTACTGACACTGAAAATTATTCCAAGGAGGAGGTGGATGAAAGACAGGACCGTTACTTGGCTGTTACTAACATGGATTCTGTGGTTTTGTTTTAGCCCCCGTGATCAGATACTGTGATTTTGTTTTGTTGGTTTTTTTTCATTATATAGAATATTTTAAGAGAAAATATAACATATATAAATAAGGATATCTGATCTGGATCCAGTTTAACAATACAGCAGGTGAGTCTCAGCATTTTTCTGCTCTCCCATGACAGCTTCCATGTGAAAAGTTCTGTTTCCTTGGAATCACTCAGTTACTAAAGAAAAATTGTAAATTTTATAAAATAAGCCCCACCCTTTATTTTCAAATCCATGTCCAGAAAGCATAATATGTTAGAAGAGAATTACTTTGGTCAAGGTTTTTTCATGTTAATTAGCAAAATAAAGGAAGAAATATATTATTTTTAAGAAGGTATTTTCATATTCAAATTTGAAGATTTAGGAAATTTTGAATACTTCATTTTAGGTTTTTTTTTAAATGCTTCAAGCAAGGATGGGTATTCCAAATTAGGCCAATGCTGCTTTTACAAATAGATTCTGAGACTTAAAGACATGACATCCCATTTTAAATATTTTGAATGTAGAGAGATCGGATTACCTGAGTCATCAGTTACACTTTCTGATGCTTTTAAGATTTGTTTGGAGCAGAAAAAGAATGACCTGAACATTTTAGTCTAACCCAGGAAAAGTTATCTTAAATGGCAGATTTGCTGTGAGTAAACAAGTGAACTTGTTTCTAATAGATATGAAGATATTATTCAGAGATATTTATTATGTCTTAAAAACATATTTTTCTATTTTCAAGATATTATTTCTAAACTCTCTTTTTTACTGGCTCTTCTGCAAATCTGTGGTTCCTTCAATGATAATAACTAGGTTGTGAGGACATGTGAAAGGTGCTGTGTTCAGGGCGTGGTCCTGTCTTTGCTGGCATCGCCCTAAAATCTTCACGTGAGATTGGCTCTGAGTACTTAAAATGGTATAGGGCTATTTTTAAAAAACAAGAGGTGGAGAGATTTTGAAAAGAATAAAAATTACACCTTTATAATTTTAGCAGCCACCACAACAACTTGATTTGTGTAGAAGCGAACATAACAAAAGAAACATTAATCAGGGAGAAAAAAGTGGACTCCAGATTCAGTTTATTGTACTTTGTGTTCCACTAGCATACTTTACAGTCATATTTCACCATCATCCTTGGAAAGTGCTTGTTAAACATGGCCTAAGTGTCTGTCGTGTTTCCACTTTAATTATTAAAAACACCAAGTCCACTTTGGCACTATTTTAAATTTAGAAAACTGAATTTGAAAAATGAGGTGTTAACAAGTGGATTTTTAAAATACGATGTCAAATTTCAAATCACCCAGTCTTGGAGAATTTGCAGATAAAAAACCTTTTCTAATTCTGGCTTATAGAAAATCAGTGGTATTTTAAAGTTACATATTTGTGATCAGATAAAGAAGAGTCTTAAAATAGCTTTGCAGGGAAACACTGGGGCCTGTGGGGAGCCCACTTCCTCATACTTGAGCTGGTGACTGACACCACACAGGATATGAAAGATCTCAAAGGCAGAAAAGGCCCCAAACCATCAGATTATATATATTCGATGGTTGACTCAAGTACAGTTAGCAGTGGTGTTGAAGGCTCACAAACAGCCAATGTAGATAAGTTCTTAAACTAAGAAAAAAATCTCTTGATCATGAATCCAAAAGTCTACCATTCCGTCCTAGCAAAATACTATCAGAGTGATAATATCCAAACTAGATTCTTTGATCTGTGGTTTGTTTGGTTCTCTTGCATGAAAACAGTGAGCCACAGATTTCTATCCATTTGTTGCTAGAAGGAAAATAAATCTCTTAACTAGCCTCCAGTCAAAATATATTCAGATTCAGTAGAATTGAGTTCAATAATTTCAAACATCCAGAAATAATTTAAGGTTTTCATATGCTAAATGGGACACTTTGTAAGCTCAAGATGACTCCATGGAGGTAGTCTGAAGTGTTAGGCATCAGTAAATAATGCTACCCATGTAATAATGTGCTGAAAGACACTGGAGTCATAAGATTGTGTTGCATTTTATTTTAACAGTGTTTAGCTGAGGCAGTTCAGAAATTATACCTGGTCAGTTCTCTTAGATGGTACATCATGTGAATATAGTCAAGCTCTGTATAGTTTAAATTTTGTTATGCCATTTCTTGTATGTCGGGTATTATGCATAACTTTAATAGCCGAGATGTTAAAGAATATGAAGCCTAAAAATATAAAGGATGAAGTATGCCTATATTAATGCTGTGTTAAGACTGCTCTGGAAACAAAGACTTATGATTCCCTTATATGTGTGACTTTTCATAAGGTGATTACAAATACAGTATAGTATATTTTAAATGGCTATAAGTGGTTGCTAACTTGCTTTACGTGTGACAAAGCTGGAAAAAAATCTTTTCCTCAGCGTACTCTGCAATTACAAATACGTTCATCTTAATATAAAACAGAAGTATCTTGCTGACCAAATCCCATGCAGAGAAAAGACAATTAGGATACATATTCAGTTTGGTTTTTGTTTTGGAGAAATACATCTTTGGGGAGGGCTCACCTTCCTTTTGTGCTTTCATTTGATCCTTTAGAAATTGGTATAATTGTGGATAATTATGTAAATGCTTATCAAAACAGTGTTTTTGAAGTGATTCCATTAGTATTCTGTTCTAATACTTGGGGAATGACCTTCATATTATTTATATATTTGTGTTACTTACACAACTATAAATACAGGAGATGTCTTTTTTTAACAAAAACTAATTTTTTATTGTAAAGTATTTGTAATAATGTAAAAGTGAATCTTATGTGTTCAGTAAAATCATACCTTCAAGTTTGAGTGTCACAAATTTGTCAGATTCTTGCCAGGGTAAGAACAGAAGTGAAAAGGGATGGGGGTGCGCATGGGGGGGTTCCCTTTTCTTTATTAGTGGGTAGTGGAATGCACACTTGAATGTCTCCCTTGAAGGTGTTTCTGTGAACTCTGGGCTTTGAGTCAGATAAGCCTGGTCTGAATTCAAACTCCCTCAGAACTTGCCTTCTCATCTATGGTGGAGACAATACTCACCCTTTGATTTGTGATGGAAAACACGTGAGCACCCAGTGTTTTTGTTCTTCCCAGCAACTAGAATCCTCAGTGAGGAAAAAATGTCAACACATTCCCTCTGCTGAAATTCAATTTATGATTGCAATTTGAAGTTGAAAAACTGGTTCAGTATGAATTCCAGTCTGTCCAGATTACCTGGCTCCTCTGGAAGGTTATTTGCGTTAAAGCACTGGCGGCTGTCCCAAGTGGGCCAGGATGGCTCTGAGGAAACCTTCAAACCTCCCCAAGTGCACAGGTTCCTGCCGCATCACCTGGGACAACTTGTGCCTGATCGCAACAGAGCCTGGCAGGGTGCAGGGATCTGCCCTTGTCTCAGGTGTGGCGCCCCCAGACCCAGCCTTCTTGCTAGGACCTGCCCCACCTCTCTCCTCCTCCCTCCCGCTATCTGGATCTTTCTTACCTCACTGCAGTCTCCTCTTCCCTATACTTGATAGCAGCCCTAGGATGCAATATAATCACCCTCTCATTAGCATGATAGGAGACCCTTAGTGGAGTTAATCCATCCCACGTGGCACAGGATGTATTAATTTAGGAAACAAGACTGACACGTTCCCTGAGAGTATTCCCTGGGAGTAAGTGTCAGGAAACCTTCCTGTAGGCATGAGTTTCAACCCCAATCTTTTGCAGTTACAGCTCAGGGAGGTATCTCCTCTATCCGTTCTCTTTAAGAAACTGACTTTGTTACTACATCTTGAAACCATTTTAGCTGAGAACTTCCAATCTCTTCCAGAAAATTGGTGTGACTGAGTCAGACCAGGGAGTCCTAACAGCAAGTGCTTGAAGTGATAAAAGTGTGCCACCTTCTGGTATTGAACCTCAGTGATTTTGTTCAAATTGACTTCTCCCACGTGATCCTGTGTCTTTTCCCCCTACGTGACATGAACATGTGAAATATTTGCAGGATTTTGATACATTAAGGTAAAAGAGTTTTCCCTGGGCACAGGGTTAATGAAGGAGTGTAAATTCCCTTCTACAAAGATGCCAAGCAGAAGGGAGATGAGCTTGAGAGACAGGCTGGACAAAGTAGTGGGAAAACGACAGCCTGTTCAAGCAAAGCTTATGCTCCCATGGGGTCGTAATGAGATGCCGAAGTAGGGAGCAAAAAGCCAGGATAAATTTACTTTGACTAATTCCAGCTGTGGTTACTGCACACAGGATGAAATGGGGTGGACCTGCAGCAGTGCAGGCTAGGATCTGACAGAACATTAAGAACCCAACAGATAAATAGTCAGAGGTCACTAGCACTAACTTTGAATAGTTAAAAGGTGTATACAGGCATGCCGCTGGCGTCAAAACTAGCAGCAAAAGGTAAATTAACATCCAGTCCACATGTTTGACTTCCTGCTTCTGCCAGCTCCTTTACAGGAAATCCTGTGTTCCGTAGCCCCCAGCATCCTCCCTGAAGGCAGAGTCCACACCTCTGCCACAGGCCACATCCCTCCCAGGTCACCAACATCACACTCCACAGGAGCCCCGGTCAGGGATAAATCCTCAGCTCTTCCCTTGATAATCACTGGGGCAGACCTGAGCGCCTCAGGGGCTGAGAGCACCACTCTTAAAAAGCTCAACTACTGGATGTGCTGGAAACTGGAAGGTTGGAAAAGCCTGAAGTGAGAAGGGTGGGGGGGCTGGTAGGAGTGAGAAGGTTGCCTGGGTGGGAGTTTGGGAGCCTGAGGGGAAGCGTTTCACAGCTCGATTGTGTGGAAACTGAACAGGAAGTGCTGTGAACATTAAGCTGCTAGGAAAGAGCAGAAGACTTAAGGATGTTGAAGTTGCCAGGGCCACGGAAACAAATCTGACTCAGACCTCAAGATCCAAGGAGGTTCCAATAAATCTATATTGGGTTAGGTACTTTTCACACCTACTTGGGGAGGTTGTTTAGAATTGTCTCTCCCAGAAAATATCGGCAGGTAAAGATCTGCCTCGGGCCCTCCCTCTGGCACATCCGGTAAAGGCGCAGCACAGCAAGCTGGCTGCAGCCGATTAAGTGCATCCCTGGCCCTGAGCCACATGCCTCTGAGGCAGACCTCTCCTGACCCACCCACTGCTCCCCTCAACAATGTACTCCTTCTGCCTGTTCTGCTCCCCACTCTGTCTCTCACCCCCCTGCATCCCCTGTACCCCAGTTCTGTATGCATAGATAAATCTTTTTTTAAAATCTGCCTCTGCAGAACCACAATTTTTCACTGGCATTCAATAGTTTAATTCTTCGGAATGAAAACATGTTGCATTCTTGTGCTTGAGGCCTCTCTCTGTATTTACAAAATTGTGGGGCATCCGTTTTCCTGGAAAAAGAAACAATTTTGCCCCCCAAAAGGCCACTGTCTCTTGCAGAATTGGAGCCTACTTGTAATTAACTGGAAGAAACCTAAGAAACGTTTGATAGCTGTCTCCAGGGAGTGAAATGGAGAGGCAGTGAGAGAAGCCAACTGGAGGAGTATTTAATTTCTTCCTTACATCCTTTCTGAAGGGATTTTTTTTAGCAATAACATGCATTACTACTAATGTTTTGCAAAAACATGTAACTAGAACGTAGATGGTTAGTGATGATGCATTTGAAAATGTTGCATAAAAAAATACCATTTATGTAAATTAGCATCAGAAAATGAACATTTTGCCCACCAGAACTGTAAGCAGAACACTGGTTGGGGGGGGGCTGCTCCCTTCAAGAGAAGCAGTGATTGTGAGAAACGGAGTTCCCAAGATGGTGTGGGAGAACAGTATGGAGGGAAACATTTTGAAGTTTAAATTCCATACAGTTCTCAAGTGTCTTATCTTTTACAGTAATACTTTTACAATTTAAATTGTTTAGGTTATTATTTTAAAAATACAATTTTTAGTTGACAGTGTATTGGTTTTTAGGATTTTAGGGGCTTTTGGAGGGAGACTAGGGGAAAAGTAGCGATCAAGATTTCAAACACCTTTCGATCACGTTTTAGCCAGAGATTAAGAAACAAGGTTGTTTCCCGTCTGGAAGCAAAACTTTCTCAAATCACATGCTTTAAAATCAGCACTTAGTCCTAGTTTCATAAAAGCAGAACTGCTCTACTCAACATTTAAAATATAATATATAACCATAAGAGTTTCCCAACAAGAATACAAAGGGAAGAAAAACTATTTTAAAAATTACAGGCAGGCAATCTGTTCTGCTCCCCACTCTGTCTCTGGTGAATCCTCTCAAGCCCTGCACCTCTGGCCTGTCCCCCAGTTCTGTATACATAAATAAGTAAATCTTTAAAAATAATTATAGACAAGGCCTAGTAATCAAGTTCAAGAGCAGGGGCTGCAGGCCCGCCCCATGCAGCAGGTACCCACATTCCACACATGTGAGACACCACAAACCTGACCAGCAGTTATTCAACTCATTCTAAAGACAGATCTATAATGCAACATGCAGGAGGGTCATTGTTCTGCTCCAAAATAAAAAAAGTCGGTGAAGCATGGAGCCCGAGCCGGGAAGCCCCGCGCCCCAGGTCCTGTGATAAGCAACTTGCTACATGTCTTGGATTGTGACTCATGACCTGTCTGACTGTTAAGGGGAAGGATGTCCTAAAGAAACTCTGCAGAGTCTTTTATTACTTACGAGTCTGTTTTTGTGTAACTTCAACAGGTTATTTTGTATGCATAAACTAATTGGCAATGTGCTTCAGTGGCTTTGCTTGGCATTCTCCAGGAACTTCAAACTGAGCTGAACGAAGAGGATGAGCATCTGCTGCTTTGTTTGTAGGATTCCTGGAACCTCCAAAGAAGGTGAGGAAGCTTGCCTCCATTGGAAGGCCTGGACAACCCGGACTGGACAATATTGAGCCCAGGTAACCTCGAGAAAAGGTGACCCCAGATGGAACCTGCTGGAACTAATGTTTGTTCCTAAAGCCTACATCAACTGGACATCAACTGTTCGCTCTGATACTATGGACTGTTCCAACAAGGCCAACTAAAAATTGCTTTTTGATTAGTCTACCCTGTGATTTTATGCAAAAATAGAAATATGGTTAAATGTTAGCTTGAATTTGTAAATATGTTATACATTATTAGATAAAGTTGGAATCAAGGTTGAGAGAACTTGTTTTTACAGAAGTTAAACCAGTTTTTGAAGATTTTTGTTTGTTCCTGTTATTTTGATATACGTATATTGCAACATTTTTTTCTCTTCACCTATAATGATGGAGTATTTTATAGTGATGACCATCATCCTTGGCAATCGTGAACACTGCTGGTGACTGCTGCTTCTTTTGCATATGCTGGAAACCTTACAGAGACTGGGAGTGTTACAGAGACTGTCTTCAATGAAGACTACACCCTGTGATCTATGCCACCATAGATATGGTGGTATGAAATCAAAAGGGGGTAATTGTTAAGGGGAAGGAAGTCCTAAAGGAACTCTGCAGACTCTTACGGACTCCACCCCTTACTCCAGCTTTCTGCACCCTATACATTACTCCAGTGATTGAAAACTACAACTCCCAGCAGTACCAGGGAGAGAACTCAGGACCCCAGGGCGGAGCTAGCAGGAATGGATTCTGGGACATTTGGTGAGGATAAATAGGGCGCACTCGCTCTGGCTCCTCTCTCGCTGGCTGGCTCCCTCTCTTGGGAAGCAGCTTTCCAGACCGTGTGACTTGGTATGTTCAGTCAGCCTATGGCAATTAGGTATGGCAATTACTTTGTTTTTGTATCCTGCTCTCTTTCCCTGGGTTGTTTCCTATTCCTTTCCTCTTTTGTAAATAAACCCATTATTGACCCTTTTGTGTGTCCCTGCGGTTGTGAGCGTGGGTGAGGCCCCCCAGACAGGTGGCCCAGCCCACTCTGGGCTACCCTGTAACAGCAGGAATGGATTCTGGGACATTTTGGGAGGATAAACAGGGCACTGGCACTGGCTCTGGGTCTCGCTCTGGCTCTCGGGCTCGCCGGCTCTCCAGACCACGTGACTCGGTGTTCAGTCAGCCTAGCCGTGAGGTATTCCACTTACTTTGTATCCTGCTCTCTTTCCCTGTGTTGTTTCCTGTTCCTTTCCCCTTTTGTAAATAAGCCCATTATTGACCCTTTCGTGTGTACCTGCAGTGTAACTGAATTGTGAGCGCTGGGTGAGGCCCCACAGACAGGCGGCCCAGTCCACTCTGGGCTACCCTGTAACATGACCTTGAACACAGTGTTAACCCACCAAGCACAGCATCAAGCCCCTAACTTCCTTGGGGGCACGCTTAGCCTTTGGCTGCTGTTCCAGTTGAGCCAAGCTCTGATACAATAAGCCTGCTTTTTGTTAGTCTTGGTGTCCTGGGTTCCTTAGGCACATGACAGGAATTTGATCCTTCTGTCTGAGACTCTTAAAAGAATTGTGTTCCTTTTGTAGGTGCATGGTAAGTACTACTGTGAAAACTGGATAGTGCTTAAATATCATCCAGGCGGATAGGGAACTGATCTAAGAACACGCATTTGGGATGTCACACCGCCCTCTACTCTTAAGTGCTTGCAACAACTCTACCATGTGATTATCTACCCTGTTAGACACACACAAGTGGGCTAAAGCTTCCTCCCACAAGTCCGAATTGGGTTGCATTTAGAGCAGTTAGAATTCAAGTCTTCAATTTTTTTCCCCTTTTAAAAACCTCCGTATCTGTGCTGTTCAAGAATAATTGACTTTTTTAGAGCAAAGGTCTGCAAATAATAGACAAAATCCAGCAGCTACATTTTGTATTACACAATATTTTAGTGGAACACAGACACGTTGTGTCATAGCCGCTGCTTTTCCACCTCAACTCAGTCACGTGACTATTCCAACAAGTGCATCTGTTGACCCCAGGCTGGAGCATTAATGAAGCTGTAACTGTGTGAAGAAAGGCCTGTCTCAGTCGCATGTAACAAAAGGACTCAACAGCTGGTTAAGAGGTGATGTGACTCACAGAATCCCTTTGTGCCCTCCCCCCTCAACAACTACTACCTACTTAATTACTGACCCTTCAAAACCTAGCTCAAGAATGAGACCCAGGAGCCTTGCCCAGGCACCAACTCGGCACCACCTATTTCAGGTTACTGGATATTCCAGTTGTGGCTGATTCTGTAGCTGGTTACTACAATGTCCTTTCTCATCTGCAAGATCACCAAGGAGCACAAGGGGCCTCCCAGAACCAAAGGCAACACTTCCCAGCTGCCCTTGCTGCAAGGGGCTTCCCTGACAGTTCAACCTGGTTCACCAGAATCAGCAGTTTTTGTTTTGTTTTGTTTTTTAAGATTTATTTGTTTATGCATATAGAACTGGGGTATAGGCCAGAGGTGCAGGGGCGGTGAGAGGCTTCACCAGAGACAGAGTGGGGAGCAGAACAGGGTGACTGATGAAGTACACTGTTGAGGGGAGCAGCGGGCAGGTCAGGAGAGGTCTGCTGCACCAGGTGGGTCACCTCCAGGGCGGGGGTTGAATTCGTGCTGAAGTGCCTTTAGCTTCTCAGTGCTGTGCTTTATCCTGTGGCACCACCAGGGAGGACCAGAAACAGCACTTTTATGTAACAACTTGCATCAAGCCTTCCCAGGGAAGGAATGTGCACTTTGCCCTTTTCTGTCCTTTTTTCTCCCTTTCAGCTGGTTTGGAACGTGCAAACGCCCGCCTCTATCTCAGACCCACGGGCAGCTACGTGGGCAGAGGTCCATAGCTGGTCAGCTTACCTCTGCACCCCTGGGCTCCCTAAGAAATGTATCATTAGCCCACACAACCTCCATCCCAACTACGATCAGCAAGTTCCCAGACAAAAAGGTGCTCAGACATGAGCAAGGTTTATGTCCTGAGACTCCTTCCGTGCAAACACATGCATTCTTGTTTGGGCTAAGTATTACAGGTCAGAATTGAGCCCAAAGGATACAAAGTCTCCTAGAAAAATGTTAAAGCTACTCCTGGCCCCTAGGAAAAGGTTTTAAACACAATTTTCTTTCAAGCTTTTTAATGTCACTTTCAACAGGACTAAATGCAAAAACACATATGACCAAGAACATTATGAACAAAAAGTCTTACTCCCTGCCAAAAAATAGGTATAGACACTTAAAAAAAAAAAAAAAAACAGCAGCAGGTTAGGTAAGTAATTTCAAATTAAAGTTACTTGAATCATAACTACACGAAAAGTTTAGACTCCAATGGAGCCTAACTCTGGCAAACCCCTGAATTTCAGGAAATAAGGAAGGCTCAATAATTGTCGTCCTCGTCACTCAGGTCAACCTTCACTGCAGAACCATCGCTGTTCAGCCTTACTGAGTCAGCAATGAGCGTTTTCAGCGCCTCTATGTTATCACACAAGCGATTCACCTTGGGATAAGCGAGAAGTCTCTCCAGGGGTATGTAAAATTCATTTCCGACACAGAACGGTTTGGGAGCCTTCTCTATGTTGGTTTTTTCGGCCTCTGTGAAGACTGGCCCCACGAGGGTGATGCAGGTCTCTGAGGGACTGGTGGCTTTTGACTTGTGATCCAATTCCCTGTCATCCTCCGGCTTCAGACTTTGGACAAATTTATGTCTCATGCTTTGGATTTCTCGGAACACTTCGTTTATCAACACAAGTTGGCGGAATCTTTTTTGCTGTAAACTTGGGTATGAGGCAGTAAAAACCTAAAGAAGAAAAAGAAACACAGTTGTAATGTAGGAAAATTTTCAAAACTATAAGTCATTTTTGCCACATTAAAAATTAACTGCATGTTTAGTGAGATAAGCCAGAAAGAGAAAGAAAAATACTGGATGGTTTCACTCATAGCAGGAGTATAATGGACCAGGCGAGAAAATAACAAAAA